ATATATATATATATATATATATATATGAGAGAGAGAGAGAGAGAGAGTACGGATTCTATAAGGTTGCAACCTTAAATAATCCAATTAATGTGCATCTCCAAATTTTATCATAACGTGCAATTTTTGTATAAAAAATTCTTAGGATTATCTGAAAATCTATTTTTATATTTATTATAAAAATTTAAACTCCAAAAATGATTAAAATCTAGTAGATCTATAAATATATGAAAATCTTGAAAATAAATAGTCTAGATAATGTGTTGCAAGACGGCTTTTTTTTAGATTCAAAATCTTTTGTTGTTTTCATATCCATACATCTCTATATTAAAGTATATAGTAAGATGATTAATTAGAAGGTTTTTCAACATTAAAAGAACCTTTACTGATAGATTTTTAAGGTACATATGTAATTCTACATTTTAAAGTTGCAACCTTATATAAACTTTTTCTCTATATGAGTTTGTCTAGAGTTAACAACCCTTCAAAATACAAAGCTTTTTGGCTGTTATGGGTGTATTTATCACAACAATAGTTATTTTTTTATTAAAAAATGATTTAAATAGATAACTTTATCATCAAAGGTAAATTTAAAATTTTTATAAAAGTACAATAGCATTTTAGAAGTTGGTGTTATGAAATTTTATTTATAGAGTGCTTTCATCCTTTAGTTAAAATTTCAACTTTACCTCTTATAGAGATGTTATAGAGAGGATAAAAATATCCTTTGTCTTATAGTAATATTTACAAAATTGCCCTCCAAAAGTAATTTTGTTTAAAAAATAGACTACAAAATTAATAAATCCACCCCTCACAACTCTCTCTATCCTTTGTGATATGAAGGGTTGTGAAGTTTAGATTATCCCTATATATATATATATGAAAAACTCTACGCAATGTCTATAGGAGAAAATAAACAATGATTTCGTCTACCCTTATCACCGTCCAAAGTTCATCGCACGGTCACGATTGTCCTGTAGTATTTCATTTTTCATTTTTTTTTTTCTACAAATCAGAATGACCTGAAATTTGGAACGTATATTCATCAAAAATAGGGGAAATCTTTGAAAATTATAAAAAACTATTTTAGATGAAAAAAATATTTTGATCAATTTTTTTTTCACGAATAATTTTTTTTATATTTTTATTAGATGCGCCTCAGTAAGATATACATACCCTCTAAATTTCAAGTCATTCCAATTTGTAGAAAAAAAATGAAAAATAAAACACCACCGAACAATCGTGACCACACGAAAATATTTAGACGGTGATAAAAATAGACGAAATCACTATTCATTTTCGCCTATAAGCATTGGCAAAACTTTTCCATATATATATATATATATACACAATAAGAAGGAACTACCAATGCCTATGAGAAAAAATGAACGATGTTAGTTTTGGACGACGTGGGAAAATCAACCACACCGAACATATTATATATGTTACAGTCAAGTTTTAATACGAAAAGCACGAAAAACCGCAACAGTCCTCTCTATGAGAGCCATTACGACTTTTCAGGCTAAGCTACAATGAGAGCGGTTGTGAGGCGAAACACTATTCATTTCACCCCAACTGGGTTTTGAAGACTGTTCCACGGAAAGTTTCTTACCTTTCAAAAGCCAAACTCTTACTAAAAAAGTACATGAAATCAATGAATGGGAAGGAGAGCAAATGTGGGGAACACAAACGGATTTATTAAAAAATAAATAAACTCTCTTACATCAAATTTCTCCAAAACTTTAAACAGGGCATAGACTGTAATCCTCTACCATAAAGAATTTCTGAAGAATCTATGGCCACATATATACATGTTTTAGTCACCACTCCCCAGTGCCCAACCTCCCCTCCAAAGGAATTCCTCCAAATAGCAGCCAATGTCCTCTCTCCCTCTATCTCTCTCAAAAGAATTTCTGAACCAGGCAAAACATACCAAATCAAAAATTCCTACCTCCCCACCTTCCTACCCACACCCCTCTTCTTCAGCAAGATCTTAGAACTTGGTACATAAGAAATCCACAGCAAAGGCACCAATGCAGCGAAAAACTGTAGCCCAATGGCAACAGGCAAGCTTCCATAACCATTTGAAGAGACACCCATGAATGAAGCAAGAACAACCCCAACATACCCACTAAATATCGAGGCCAGACAGAGAGCTGACATGAAAAAGGCCAGCAACGAACCTTCAAGACCTAACGGACACTGGTTCGCTAAAAACACAGTGAAAGGCAGAATTTTGAACTGAGAAATTGCTTCCCCAAGTGCCGAAATCCACAAAACATGCGCCTCATTTGAGATCCCCAATCTTAGATTGAGCTGTTTCACTAGAACCAGGTCAAAGAGAAAAGAAGCTGCATATAGAATTTGAACTGCAAAAACCAGTCCTCTCACAGGAACTCCCCTTAGAAATTGGTTATATAAAACAGTCATGGTAAGCACTAAAGCCTGACCTATAACTTTTGATAGGCCAATTTTGGAAGCACCCACCTTGAGGTATTCGGTTTGGAAATAGAAGAGGGTGCCTGAGAGAATGGGCACAATTGCAGTGGAAGCAACAGCCCAAGAAAGAGGGCGGGATATGCTCGGGTCTTTTATGGCCCTCTTAAGGTCAGAGAATTGCTTTTTGATGGTTTCTGACATTGGGTTTTTGATTAGGGTGAGAGTAGCATTTGGAACTGGGTGAACTGGGTGCTTTTCTACAGTTTTCAGGAAAGGTTTCTCTAGTATAGAGAGACTTTGAGGCAGTTCAGTTTTTGTGATTTTTGGGATGGGTTCTGTGAGGAGAGAAAGAATAGGGGTTGAAGAGGGTTGGTTCTCTGTGATTTTTGAGATTGGTTGTTTCAGGAGAGGCACACTGGGGCCAGGAGATGGGAGGTTGAGGGATCTCTCATCAGTGGTGGAGGAGACAAAGAGTTGTAGCAAAAGAAGGAAGACAAAGTTGAGGAACATGACTGTAGGTCTAGTTTTTTCTAGGATTATTCCTCCCCATAAATTGCCCATAATCCCTCCTAAAGCAAGGGCCATAAATGCGAGGGATTGGAGCACACCAGAGGATGATTGGATTTTGCATTTTTTGCTACATTCTGCAAGGAGAGCATCACTCGCTACTTCTGTAATGGACGCACCAAGGTTACTTAGAAGGATTAAAGCCATTAAAGCTGATATGTTTAGTCTTGAAAATGGCAAGAGAGCTATGCTTCCCCACGAAAATGCCTGCAAAAGAACTGGAGATTTTACTTGTTTCAGGACACTTGTATTGGTTTGGATATTCTCAAAGCCATAGAAATTCAGAAATTCCAATCAAATTGAGTATAACTGAGGTAGCAAGTTACTGATTAAAAGATTGAAAAAGTGACCTCAATAAGTGCCGCATAAGTTCAAAAGAACAAGAAATTAACATCTAAAGTTCAGGGAAAAAGAAAGAGGAGTGGCGTCTAACAAAACTCATGTTTGTTACTGCAAAAAACATAAGTCTGCTATTCATTCTAGCCAAAGAAAACAACAGACTTTTTACCTACAGACTTGAATCTTTGCATTTGATAATAGAGAGCAGCACAAAATAGGACAGCATTTATAAGTAAAGTTCTCCAGCAATTAAATATTACAATTAATAAATATATGTAAATTCCCTCCATAAGATGGTAAATCGGAGCTCAAACAAGAATCATATTCGAATGTATAAATTCCCTCACTCATCTTTGCATACAATGATCTCCATGACATTAACCAGTATGTAGCCATGTATACATAACTTCCAGGAAAGTAAATGAATTAACAAGAGAACATGGCATATGAAATAAAATTTTATTTCTATATAAAAATTCAACTAGTGTAGACTGCAGAAAAATGATCAATAATGAAAATAAATTTTTTAAAACTCAGGTGCATCCACTCTGTCTACCTACAGTTACTCAGACTAGGCAAGGTGTGCGGACTCCAAGCAGGAATCAGCTAAACTCAGCTGATTCAGATTCATGCTTTAGTGTACAGACTAGGCTGAGAATGATGGACTCGGCCGAGTCTGTACAGACAATGCGACTCGGGTCAAGCCTTGTTTTCTAACATCATTGATGATGGTAATTATAGCAATGAAATTTTCTATAAATATAGAAAATGATTCATTGATAGTTATTGATAGCTTACTAATTGAATGAGAAGAAATATGAAAAAGAAAGGCAAAGAAATGCAAATAGCATTTCAATTAATTTTGCACAATATACAATTCAAAAAATAACTGATGAAAAACACGAATTCAAGAAAACAGGTATTGTTACTGATAAAAAGAAAATCAAGGAAACAGGATAATAGACAAAAATGAATAAATTAAATAAAAAAGAAGAAGAAAGGGTCATGATATTAAGAGAATCATTCACCAATTGAGGTGCTTCCAACCACTATCAACCCAACTAAAAGCCACAACATTCATGGAAATCAATACGAGGGAGAGAGATAAAGTATTTCTTCACATGTCAACTAATTTCAGAGCTTGCAGACCTAGTTGTAAATTCATATTTCCATCAACTAACAAGCAATAGAGAGAGAGTGAGAGAGAGAGAGCGAGAGAGATTATTCAGAAGAGAGAACAAAAAAGAAGAGAGAAAGATGCGAAAGACTAACCTCCTAGAGAGATATAGGGCAGACGATGCGCATCTCCAATATATACAGAATCAGTGACAAGGCCATAGATGGGCTTGGCCACCATGGGCAAGTTAGCTGAATACTGAACCAGTTGAAGAGTTGCAAGGTCCACACCCAACCCATCTTTGAAGTAAAAATTCAGAGCAAGCCATGGAAAACACCTAAACCCCTGAACCCAATAACTTAACCCACTCATAACCACCATTTCCAATCCATAAACTTCTGCAAGATCCAAGAACCAGTTCTTTCTGTAAGGGACATATTTGGTCAGGGGTGGTAAAGATGTGGTGGATTGTCCGCTGAGGTTTATGCGGGGTTTAAGGGGTTTCCCTGAGTTGTTTTGCAGAGAGAGAATGTGGGTGTTGGAGTCTTTGGGGTGGTTGCTATTGGGGTTGGTCTTGTTTTGTAGAGAGAGAAAGTGTGTCTTGGTGTTTTTGGGGTTGCGTACAGAGGAAGAGATTTGCAGAGTGAGGTGTTTGAAAAATAGAGGTCTGGGAGGGGTGACGGTGAGTACAGGGAGAGAGGAATGATGGATGTGGAGTTTTGGAGAGAGAATCATGGCTGCTGCATTGACAGAGTTGCAGGATTTCGTAAAGTGCTAGGATACAGGGGAGAGAGAGAGCCTCCCCAAACCTATGAGTCCTGTTAGAGAGAGAAAGTAACGATTTTCCAAACTTTTAGAGAGAGAAAGGAAGGCGGGGAGAAAGCGACTCTCTCCACTGAGCAAGAAACGCATTAATGAAAGGGTGCGGTTTGTATACGGGCGAGGCTCTAAACAATCAAAGTAGGGCGCGCTTTTAAAATGGCGCCGAGAATTGTGGTTTCGGAAATATTTATGACAGTATTTTTATTTCTAATTATAAAATTTAAAACTTAAAAAATAATGTAGGTAAAATAGATCTATAAAAATTTAAAAATCTAATCTTTATGACAGTTTTAAAATATACTTTTATTTTTAATTATAAAATTTGAAGCTTTAAAAATAATGTAGATAAAATAAATCTATAAAAATTTGAAAATCTTAAAAATTGATGATCTATAAAATACATTACAATATGCACTATTTTTAAAACTTAAAATCTATCTTTTTTTTCATGTTTATGGTTCTTGATGTCGAGATAATCAATCTGATAATATTTAGACATCAAAACGACGACAGTTAGTGAAAATTTTCAAATGGGCTCTAATTTCATTGTTTAAAGCTTCTATATAAACTTTTTTCTTGATGAAGACAATTTGCCAAGCAAATTGGAAGTCTAATCCGAGGAGAAAATAGTGTCTAGAGAGAATGAGAGAGTTCTCTGGTTTTGTGATTTTTGTTTGTTAACTTATTCTACATACTTTCCAACTTACACGCTATTTTAGACTATAGGGCAACACTTAGCAAACCTATTGCTTTTAGGGCAAATTTGGTTCACGTGATTTAATCATCACGATTGGGATATTGTTGCATTTGAATGATGATTTGTGGACAAAATTATTTTTGACTGTCAAAATCTAGAAAATTTTAAATTTTTTTTAATGATGATTAAAATTATAATTTATGAAATTATCAAAATCATTGTATTTTTTCAGAAATAGTTTATACGAAGAAATTCTCATATACTTAAACGTGATAATTTTGCAGCTAACTAATGGATATGAAAATATTCTCACACTTTATCACATGGAATGTTTTTCGTATGATTAAATTGCTAATTAATGCAAAACAATTTCCAGATATAAGAAACTTTTTTATATATAAATATTTCTTAAAAAATATTTTTACACAAACTAAACATACCTTTACTGCTAAAATAAAAAAATAAAAAAAATTACAACGCTACATCCTCGCTCAAATCCTACCAAAGGTAAGGACCCGACCCTTTCCCCAAACAGCATCAATAGAGAGAAATAAAACAATCAAATGGCTTAGACTTGGTGAAAGCTGAGTGTTCTCTATTTTTAGCACCGTCTTATTCTCACCGTTCGTTAATGTTAAAATATTGCAATAATTTATTAAAGCATTTTCTCGAGAAGGTTCCGTACCCTCATGGATCCAAATGAGAGTGACCCCTTTGTTTTTTTCCTGTTTCCCCCGTGAACTTTTCAGAGTGAGCATGCTACCCATCCTCATATTTTTTAAAAAATGGAAAAATTATTATGATAAGAAGTCTATAGCAAACCATAGTTCATAATTGGCCATTTTTGTAAGGGATTGTCGATAAAGACGAATTTATCTTTGAAAAAAGTTTATATAAGGTTAACCTAAAAATGTAGAATTATATTAAAAAAATGCATCGGAAAAATGTTATTTTGATATTGAAAAACTTTCTAATTGACCATCTCGACATCAAGATGTATGGATATAAAAAAAAAGAATTTTCAATCCCTATAAATAGTGTATCTTGCAACACATTATCTAGACCGTCTCTTTTCAAGATTTTCATATGTTGTTTATAAATCTACTTGATTATAACCATTTTTGAAGTTTAAAACTTTATAATTAGATATGAAAATAGATTTTCAGATAATCCTAACAATTATTTATGCAAAAAATACAACTTATGTTGAAATTTAGATGTGTTAATTGGATTGTTTAAGGTTGCAACCTTATATAAACCATACCTTTAATCATTTGTACATGGATGTCATAATTATATTTGTCCCTTAAAAAAAAAAAATTTGAACTTCATGGCTCATCCCAAGTTATTTAATTTGACCGGTAATGAATGCGACCTACATTTACAAATCAAATTTGACATCTAATGAGTGCTAATGATTTTGACCTTGTACAAAAGATAAATAAGCACTTTATCGACAATCCTAAGGGTAAGAATTTTTCAGATCGACCCAGATCTAAATCCAAATAATATGCGTTAGATCCAAATCTGAATCCAAAATTATATAAAATCTAGATCTGTTCCAAATACAAGGGCTAATTTTGTCGGTCATAGAAGATATTTTGAATGGGCAGTGTAGTGAGCTAGAAAAAGAGAAAAGGGAAAATAACTTTTTGAAAAGTGCCCTAAGAAGAGACCATTGTAAAGAGATTGAATATCCTCTGTCTCGAGAACATAGACAAGAAACATTGGTATTTCATAGCAATGAAATTCAGGCATCAAATTTACACAACCCTACTAAATACAGTCCAACACAAAATAACGTTTTCCTTCCTATAGCAACTCCTCCGACTTTCAAATTTCATTGGGTTTTGTCAAATTTGTAAAGAAGAAAAAAAGATACAAATTCATGATTAATTATCAATTAATAAAACAAATTCCATGAAAACCAACAAGAACTTTAATTCCTTGTGCTAACCTCTGTAATTGGAATCTCTATAGTGCGCTTGGATGCAGGCCTAAAGGCAACCTATGTGGTAGCATCAGTAGTAGAAAATGGGAAAATTATGTAAATATTCGTTATATTTTTTGTTATTATAAAAATACCTAAAATTTTTCGTTATTACACAAATATCCGTTATTTCAACTTAATAATACAAAATTGTCCCTTTTCGATTTTTGAAAAACCATTTTTTTTTAATTTTCGTGTACTTCTTCCTGTACTCCCTCAAATTTCGGTGAGTCATAACGGACTCGCCCTAGTCGATACAGGAATCGGGCACCCCGTGTCGATTCTTCTGCAAAACCGGGACTTCTGCAAAACTGGGAATCATCCGATCCTAGAGGAGAATTGAATTGTCCAATCTTAGAGGAGAATTGGCGATTTTGAATTGATAGCCCCTATTATGTCATAAATCGCGATTCTAATCGCTTAGTGACCCTATTTCATCATAAATCGCGATTCACAATTGGCGATTTTGAATTGATCGCCCCTATTACGTCATAAATCGCGATTCGCGATTCTAGTCGCTTAGTGACCCTATTACGTCATAAATCGCGATTCACAATTGGCGATTCACAATTGGCGATTTTCAATTGATCGCCCCTATTACGTCATAAATCACGATTCTAGTCACTTAGTGACCCTATTAAGTCATAAATCGTGATTCATAATTGGCGATTTTGAATTGATCGCCCCTATTACGTCATAAATTGCGATTCTAGTCGCTTGGTGACCCTATTATGTCATAAATCGCGATTCTAGTCGCTTAGTGACGTCACAGGGTAAGTCGTTACCTGAGGACATTTTTATAAGTTTTTTCAAAAATATTATAACTAGTGTACCCTTTCTCTCCGTCATGCTAACGTTGAGGCTTTTGTAAAGGTATTTATACCTTCTACACTTTCTCCAATTCAATGTGGGACTTGCGCTAAGCCATATTATATTGAAAATTCATACAATATAGGTAATTATTGGACAAAACTCTTTAGCAGCACGTGGTTCTTATGCATGACGTCCCAAGTTCAAATCCTAGTTGAGATGTTATTGTGCAAAATTCCAAAAAAAAGAAGATAAGTTTTTACTTTTGTCTTAGAAAAAAGCTAAAATTTATCTTCATAAAAAAAAACGAAAAAAAGATAATAATATCATAAATTTTTTTTTAAAAAATAATATCATAAAAAAAAAAAAAAGATAGGTTTTTACTTTTCTCTTAAAAAAAAACCTAAATTTATCTTCACAAAAAAAAAGAAAAAAAAGATAGGTTTTTACTTTGTCTTAAAAAAATCTAAAATGAAGAAAATAATATGATAAAAGAAATAACGAAAATAAAAAGTAATACAACAAGCAAAAAACAAAAAAAGGTAATATAACATCATCTTTTTTTTTCTTATATATATAAAAAAAGTAATACAAAAAATAAAATATTTTATCATAAAAAGAAAATACAACAAGTATTTCTTGTCAAAAAAATAAAAGATATTTCTTAATACAACAAATATTTTTTAATACAAACTAGGAATAACTAATCTAGTTATAATTTTTATTTTTATAAATGGTAAGCTTTAACATAAATTTAAAAATATTATTTTTAAGATACGATTCATACACATTTGAAATATTTCTCTGTTTCTAACAATCTCTTCCATTAAATTTATTCTAGAATTCTAAAAAATTATATTTTTTAAAAATTTGAAGTGTTATTTCGAAAATTGATGTGCATTCGAATAATTTATATATTGATAATCAAATATTTTATTTATTTATTTGCATTATAAGTCTTGTAATGTATTATTTTTCTTACAGTTGTTAATAATACAGTTTAAATCAATGGTTTAAAAAACGGATCGGTGACCCGAATCGGGCACCCAAAAAACCTATCCGGATCGGCAAATAGGCGATCCGGATCGGGAATCGGGTGAATAAATCAGAATACAGCTTAAAAAAAATCCGAAAAAATTATTAAAATTCATTATAAATATTGTTTTTTAGGAATTCAATAAGAAATGAGGGTACTCCATTAAGAATTTTCATGTTTTTGAATGAATATACGAATATTGATATGTTCTTTCCCTGCATGAACCGCCATTCAGCATTTAATTTACATCACATAAAAGGATAAACATAGATTATCATGGAATAAGTATATCAACATACATGGACTACAATAAAGCATAAAATTAGTAACATATGATCTAAAAATAAAATGATAGACGACGTTATTGTTCTTCTTGGTCATGCTGGTGCCATTGATTGAATTCGTTTAACAATTCATTGATTTGATCTAAAAACGAATCATCGATATTAACAGGCGTCTAACTATTTCCAAATCCCTGAGTGTTAGTTTTTTGTTGTGTTCCCAATCTAAAATCCCC